CAGCAGGGGGCAGCGGGCCGAGCAGCTCGCCTGTGGGTTTCATCTGATACCCATGTTATTGTCAGTGTCTTTGTTCTGCTGTTTCCAGACCCCTTTCAGATTCCATGTGGTTATTATGAACTCCGTTCCATATGAGTAACGGGTAAAGTAATATCATACAATAAAACTTTTGATTTTACGGTAACCCCCAGAACAAATAAGACCACTTCCTGTACAGCACTGTACTGTGGCAATTCCACATTGATCCCATCAGCTGTCCTTGGACTCACATCACTTCAGGATATAAGGAAAGCACCAGCCTCCAGAATGGCGCCCCCTGCTGGGCTGGGAGAGGATCCAGCCTGTGCACAGACACACAATAACTTTCACCTCTGTGATCTCGAATTTCACCTCGATCGCGGCATGCGTTTGTAAAGAAAAAAAACATTCAAGGTCTACACATCTTTTTCCCTACACTATTACACTGTCAGAAAAAGTACCAATTAGTACCTCTGACTGTACAATTACTTGTCACTGGGACTGTACCCTCACGGGTCTGGTGATTGTACCATAGCTGTAGGTAAATGTACCATTTAGTCTCATTTAAAGTACTGAAATGGACTCTGAGGAACATTTTTTGTACAATTAGGGTTACATTGATGTTGTACGTACCTTGGGGAACAAAACTGGACCAGGACTGCACCCTTTTTTCTGATAGTGTAGTGATCTACATTTCAAATTTTTATTTTTAGTATTTTTACACTTCTACCCCTGACCAATCGAAAGCAGCAGGGTTTGAGGAAAATGTGTGACTGACACTCGTCAATCGCTGAAGGGGAGCCTCTGATGGTTTTTCAACTTCAAGTTCGGATTTCAAGACCATTCATAGCAAATGGGCGTGGGGAGGGAAAAAAAGAACAAGGAAATATGTAGAGGCGAAATCTCGCCCTCTACAACAAAATTCATGGCATTGTTTCTCCAGCCTCAAAATAGATCGGGCCAATGAAAAAACACCAAACAAAACTAGCAGATACTCGGTAATGGGGGGATATTGATCCGTTAGTTCACGGTAGTAACACAAAAATATAGCACTGGTTAATTAACCCCTAATACATGGTTTTAATCATTCAAGTTGCACGTCTCCTATATCCTAGATTAGGTGTCCGAATCGCGTGCACTGCACAATGGAGAAATCACACTTACTTCTTATGAATAATAAGGCGAACATCATTTTCCTCACAATAGACAGACGTCGGCCCCAGCACAGCAGTTCAGCTGCCAGACCCCGCAGGTACCGGTATGATCAGATGCCATCGGCCAGCCGTCCCAATAAGGGCACGGCTTATCCGGGCACAAACAATATGTTGCAAAGCAGAATTAGTAATGTTTTTTGTGCTAAACGTTCCTCTTGGGACTGTCAAGTCAAATGATATCGATCCCCCAGCTGGGTTAAACGTGCAGCCCATGACAGAAGCGCGAAGCCGCCGCTCGGGATAAGGACGCGTCTGTCGCTGTCGCCTATTCACTCCTGATGGTTGGGGGTGACAATCACCGATTGCCTTTTTCTCCCCTTCGATCGTGCTCAACCCCCTGACAAATCATGAGGTTTTCCGCTCGCCATTTGTCTCAGAATAGGAGAAGTAGATCGCCGCAGCACTGAATGACTTAAACGCGAAAATAAAAGCAGAATGCAATGAGATACAGTTGTTTTCCTAAAAGAAACAAAGAAGCAAACAGCGCAGCGAGACCCCGGCACTGAACGGATTGTCTTATGAACGGCGTTTTAGGGGGGTTCTGGCTAAACTTGACCATAAGAGCTCCTGCCTGTATCACAGCCGCTCACCGTGTCGGGACCGCGGCGGCGTGATCGGCGCTCCCAGGTTTCGCCCCCGTTCACGGCACGAGCATCACAAGAGAGTCACATTTCGCGGACATCCCGCAGTTTTCAGCCGAAACGGCCCCGCTTTCCGAGCGCGTTTCGCAGTGGACTTACCTCTAGTATTGCCCGAATGCACTCTCCATGCGCGCACCCGCCTTCCCCTTTTCGGGTGCACGGGGCGCGCACTCAGCGCTCTTACAAATAAAACGCTAAAGAAGTATTATTTAAAATCCCTTAGCTTGTGGGAAATGTGTTTTTTTTAATCCTCCTTCGATGTTCCCTTGCAGACACAATATGACGTTCAACTGGCGGAAAACTGAGAATAATACAACAACGCAGGATTTACATAAATAAATGAACGTTGAGGTGAACTGAGTAATTCCTAAGCCGTGTATAATGACTCCCTCTTCCGTGCCCGAGCTAAGCGCGCCCCAGTGATCGCTGGGGAGGGAGTTACGGGGAGAGAGGGAGGGATCTGCGGAGGCGGGTCTTTCAGCGAGACTGCAGATCAAGCCGGGGGTGCAAACGCCGGCGAGCCGCTGCCGCCCCGCAACGCCACTTCAGACACGCGGAGGATCCTTCGCAGGCAACCGCAGTGGCTGGAAAATGTGTCCGCGGAATTCATGTGGCGGACGGGCTTTGTGTCGATATGAGATAATAGAGTCGTCAACGAGAAAATGCATTTTACCCCCGCAAAGCTCTTTGTCTGCATGTCAGAAGAGTTACGGCATGTCAGACATGTAATGCTGCGTAATTTATTGCTCGCCTCACGCTGACATTCTCATAAGCAGGCGTACACTGTAATTGAATATTTTTACGTGCATTGGTATAAATTGGTAAAAAATGCCTACACTGCTGTAACATTTTTTCCCAAGTTGTGAGCGCTTGACATTTTCATAATCCTGCATCGGTGATGAGATATCTGGATTTAGAGGCGGCCTCCATTGTTCAGCTGTATTTGAATAACAAATCAGACTTGGAAAAAAAACTTTACCAGTTAGGTGACCCGTTCGAGATGGTGGCCTTTCCAGTAAATCACAAATATCAATGATGATAAAAAAAGAGGCTGTAAGAATCTGCTATTTACCAGACTTAAGCGCTTTTTACCTTGGGGCGTTGTCTAGCGCATGCTAGGACAGGCAATTTAGATAATTAAGTCATACTTATACCTATTTAGAACAATGTTCATTAATGCAGTTTAGTGGTTAAGCAATACAAAAAAAGCATAATTTCATCGTAATATGTGTTAAAACATCATAGCATGTGGACTATGTATTATTCAGTCTAACTCATTAATTTGCCTGAAGTTTCTGTGTAAAACAACTTGTTCTCTGATCCGTAGTGCAGAAATTAGGCCGTAGACGTAGGAACAGTGGCAAGATCAACAGATCATAAAATTCCCCTCTCATGTTGACTTAAGTATGGTCTGCGCCATTTCTACTCTGTATCTAGTCTCCATTGTTGATGACATGTATGTGGTTTTCATTCTACCTACACGCTAATTATATTAGCAGCTGAGACCATTCAGCCTTGCACATCACTTGCACAACATCATCATTTGCTATGTAGTTCATACTGTGTACGGACCCTGAGAAACAGGCTGGAGGACATCTGTGTCTCTAGCATCTCGGTAACATCAAGTCCAACTGGCCTCTTCTACACCTCTCAGTAACAAAGAGCCGGATTGGTCCCTGGGTCTGTCACTGTAACCGTCAGTCTGGAGACGTGGTTCAGTGTGTGTGGGTGAGGGTGGACTTTCATTCACATTTATTTATTTAGCAACCGCTTTTGTCCAATGCTACATACAAATAAGTGCATCATAAGCGCACAGCTGTCAAGAAACCAACTTTGGTACAACTGCTGTTAGGCTGAGCTTCCTATGAGTAACCAGTATCAAGTACAAGAACATGTCAGAAGAGCTATATAAAAAGCCATTAGAACTTAGCGTTAGAAAAGCTATTCACCACTGGTGCTTGAACCACTAGTAAATAACATTAAGAGAATCTATCAGGAAGTATCAAGGCATAACACATTAGAGTATCCAGTAATGTCAACAAGGACAGAGCGGTGGAGAGGTTCAGTGTTAGGTCAGGGTTAGTTTGGAGGTTCTGGGAGGGGATGAGTCTTAAGATGTTCCAGGAAGGTAGTGAGGGACTCTGCACACTGGATGAGGGTGAGCATTTCATTCCACCATTGATGAACTACGCAGGAAAAACAACTAGCATGACGAGTTTTCACAGGTAGGGGAGCAGGTGAGGAACCGAGCCGATATTTGACTTTTCTTCAGCATCACTGAGTCTGGGGCTTAAGCTCTCCCAAAGGCCTGCTCTCTACCTTACCCCATGCTGGCCACAACTTCGATAGTGGATTCGTCTTTGATTAGACCCACCTGGGGGTTGGGGGGGGGGAGGTGTGGCTCACTGGGTACGGCCTCAGCGCCTGTGATCAGAAAGTCACCAGATAAAATCCTGTGTTTGGCAGAGAAGGCACATCTGTCCTTGACCCTTCATCAAGGCCCTTAACCCCCCCTCCCCCCTCTCTCCCTCTCACTCGACCATCTTTTGAAGAGCATC